AGCATTTATGATAAATGGGCATTTAGGCAGATAATTTATTAGAAGGGACGATTCATAAGAATTCTCTTTATTAGGAGGGTTCAGAGAGCATCCATTTTCTCATCTAATATTGGGGGGCTAGCATTTGTATACATGTTAAGTATCATTGAAGAGACAAATCTAGTAATTAATACGTACATAGTATTAACTGTCAATTTAGGAAACCTATAAATTCCAACCAAACCACAGGTTGAATGAATAAGTAACGGGTAAATACGTAACAGAATACAAAATTCCCGATATGCCCCATATGCTACCATAGATATACCAAATAATCGTAGCATTTAGTAACATATCTATGGTAGCATATAGGTTACATATCGGAAACTTGTATTATGCTATTATTTGTTATTTATTTATTCGACCTGCGAACATTTTCTAAAAAGTCTTGATCGTAACAGCGGCAAAATATATATATATATATGTATCTGTACGATTTTCTAATGGTTAACTTTTTTTCGTACAATACGATACATATAAAAGTAATTCGTGATGAAATTATCTAGCCTTTTTTACAATCTTATACACGATCTTTTAGTACAGTATTTATTAATTTGCTTATTCATATCATTAACGCACTCAAAACAATTACCATATACGTATTTTAACTACACGGAAAGGGAATTAGGAGATCATAATGCACCACCTCTTATAGCTGACATTAAAACTTATGATGATGGAACAATTCTCGTTCATATTATACGAAATGAATCAACACTATCAGTTGATTGTTCAAAAATTGGTGGAGTGAGTTTAGAACAGAAATTGCGAATAAGGCTTATTTTTTTAAATGGATCTGTTAGAGAGATCGATCCAAAATTAAAATTAAATCCTATAAATTCTATAAATTATTGTTTACTTGATAATATTGATCACAAAATTAACAAATTTAACGATAAAGTTATATATTTAAATGATACAAAAAACAATAACTTAAGTATATTACATAATTTAGTAAATCCTATTACAATATATCCTTTACAAAAATCATTCATTCTAGTAACTTATGTTAAAACAAATGATACTTCTAATCTTACATCTTATAAAGAGTGTGGGGAAGTCATCGATTGGGATGGGATCAGTCGAAGGTATACATTACTTTACGCCATATTTATTATTATTTTATAAAGATTATTAATAATCATTCTATAAATTGTTAGTAATATGTGTTTTGATTCTAGTTATTATGATGACTATAGTACTTGGATTAATAGTACAATACAGTTGAACACAAACAAGAAACTTGGATTTATTAGATTTGCTCGATTGAATAGTAAAAACTGGTTGTGGCAGCAATATTCAATGTAATTATATTATATTAATTATTATTAACTGTATTAATTATAATTATTACACTGATGATTTAATATTATATCCATATAGTGATGATTATGGAAATTTGACAAATTTAACAGATTTAACAGTTTTAATGCCAAGCATTGGCATTACAGGTTCTAATACACAATATTCTCTGATGTCAATTGTGTCCACTATTGAGAGTGGTTATTTAACGATCTTTAGATATGTGCAAGAAAGTAATAACAGTTCGTTAGTTCCATATGGCGGCGGGCTTTTCACGATATTTATATATTACAACCAACACAAACAAACATCGGATCGTCCTCATGCAGTTAATATCTATCAAATAACACAACCTACTATGATAATTAAGTCAGTTGATTGTGATGTAGCTGGTATAGATATTACTTGTATAGTCTCCATAAACAGCAATAATACAACATATAGTGTACAAATTCTTCTTTATTCATCAGGAAATATTCTTGAATTATTTGAAGTAACTAATCAGACCCAGCAAGGTTTGAGAGCAAAAATAATGCCATTCAATGGTTATATATTAAGTGTCACAACCTATGACAATAATGATGATAATACTTATTATTATATTTATATTTATAAAGGTTATGACAATACTTTAAATTCATCGAACCATTTTCTTACAAATTACTTTAGTGCAAACACTATTACGCAGAATAATACTTTTCTTCTCGCTTTACCCTCTACAAATGATAATATTTCTTGGTCTTTGCTCAATATTTCATTACCTAATTATTCTAGTTTTGGTGGTTGAGTATACTTATTTAATTTTTAAATTGAATTTTTATATATACTATGCGGTGTTAATGTTTCTCTATTTAGACCATGGTTATGATAATGTCTTTATAAACAAAACCATACCATCAATCAATGCTAATGTCAATTCATCAACAATCTTCCTAAACATCACCTTCAATGATATTATTGCTTTGTCACCGTCAACTAGCAACATCGTTAGCAACATCACCATCTACAAAGCATCCGACAATAGCATTAGACAAAGAATTTCAGCAACAATGGATGATTACTGTAACATCAGCCCAGACGAACTTACTGTTAGTATACCAGTAATTAAAAGTACATTCAATGAATATGGCGAACAATATTTTGTGACTATGGATAATAATTTTGTCCAAAGTTTTAATGAACCTTTAAAAGGAATTCATGATGGTATCTGGACTCTTAAAACAGGTAATATTTTTAACTAATCTTTTAAATTTTTATTGGAAATTATTAAACACTATTTTTTGACTTTTGGACATTTAGATAGCTTAGACAATCAGAATATATATTCAGGTTGTGCGCATTATTTATGATAATTTAAAATACTTCATATGATTCTCATTGTGGTTTCTTACAGATAAAACTATTATGGGCTCAGTACGTCTTACTACAGAAGCGTCCAAAAAATTCTTAAACCTCTCTAAACATAATCAATCATATCAGGCAGTATATATTGATGATTTATTGAATGAACTCGCCGGCAAAGTCCCAATAAATCGTTATTGTTTAAGATCAGATAATAGATCCCATAATTTATTTTATGATCAAATCATTATTTTGATTCGTATATATATAGAAAATAATAAAATTAAAAGGACCACTTCGGAGGTATTTTCAGATATACACACTATGATAATTTACAAGAATATCACTACCTTCTCTCTCGGTATAACAAATGACCTAGACCAATATTATGGCTTTCAACAAAGATGTGAGTTAATTGTCTCGTTTAAGAATGCTTCAGAATTGAATTTTATATCTAATTTCCATATTGTAGGGAATTTATGGAATGACTTCAAAACGCAAATAGCGATATTTATCGGAATTTTGATTTTTTTAATACTATTCATATTATTTCATATACTAAGCTATAAGGTAAATTTACTTCATCAATATTTTTTTAAAAATTTTTATCACGAATATTTACAAATTTTTTTGTCATATTTAAAAAGTTTAAATCAAAAAAATTCGAGGCACTAAGTTATGCAATTTTAAGAATTGGATTAATCATCCCTAATTTTATTCTTTCAGTTCTCTTTGTTGTTTATAATTCTAAAAATGTGCCGGAGCTTTACTGGCCAAGGTATTTGCTAATTAAGTTTATTTCTATTATCATTAAATTAATATTAAATTATTACCATCTTTATCTTTTAATCTTGCAAAAACACTATTTGAAGTGTGGTCGTCCTGAATGTTCCATTATACATAAACTTCTATATAGCAATTTATACTATTTCTGAAGGAAATAAAAACTCCTTTATTAGTAAAGATTTTAAAAAATGGGCTATGAAACATCGAGGAATAGTATTTATGCTAATTATTTTGGTAGCAACCGATTATGAATATTTGACAATTTTGAGAGACTTGCTTATGTGCACTAAAATATTACGTAATTACGAGAAAATCAATATATTTAATATACTTGAAAATATTTTGGATGTTGTAATTATATGGGGTGCATTTTTTGATATTTTTTTTAGGAATATTCCGCAGATAATTATTCAAGTGAGTAAAATTTTCATTATATTTATCGTTATGAAATTATCCTACGTCACGAGCAATTAAGGCATTGGTAACGTCTATTTATAAATTTCAGCTAGATTTATTAATTCAATTTCTGTTTAAATAGGTTTATTATTACAATTATGATTTTCTTTTTGAATATGATATAGTTCCACTCCTTTTACTTGTCACGTCTAGCCTTAAGATTTTCATAATCATCTGCAATTATGTCTGCAAAAAAGTAACTTTAATTATTGTCCGGTACGTATAATATTTATTTAATTTATTTTAAACTATAAACGTTATTTTGATCAAATACATTTATTAGGCGGTTAGTGTGAAATGCTATTCTGTTAATTTATCATTATAAATTATCTCATTCCCTAATCATATTTTATCGTCATTAATATTATAGAGAGTGAGTGTTAAATTTTATATGAAAATATTTGCCTAAAAGTAATTAAATATTGACATACTTCTCAATCAATTTCATAAATATTATTAGTTTGTAAGTATAAATTCTTATTTATTAAAAAAAAAAAAGTCTTAATGAAATGTTCATTATTAATATTCTTATTAATTGCATTAAATAGTAAGTAAGTAGAGAAACTCATAGATTTTGTTTATTAAAAGTTTATATTAATCTAAGATATCACTGATCAATTAAACAAAAAGGTTAATATTCCATTAATACATTATTATATTTTATCATTTTGTTAAAACTAAATATAATCAATGGAATTAATACGATCTTAATGGTTTATATTTTCATATTAAAGATATAATTTTTATGGAAAATGCACAAAATGCAATCGACCTTTTATTTCTCCAACTTGGTGTCAAATATGTGACCCTTTAGAAGAAACTAAAAAATGGACAAGTGGAAATGAAAATATTGATAAATTTATTAAAGATTTTCAAATCAAAGTTACAGAATATGAAAAGATGATTGAATGGATTCCATTTAATAAACTGGATAAAT